AGGAAACTTCACCTCCAGCCGAGCTCTGGATGGTGTGATACTGCCAAATTGCATCCGAAGTGGAAAAGAATGCACCAGCCAGGCGTGAACCTGAGGACCGCAGCTTCCACTTGAAAATGAAAATATTTACTAGTGTTCACTAGCATTCAGGTGTGGTTTCCTGAACACTTACATCACTCAAAATGCAGCCAAAAGAGGCTGTGGCCTCCCGCTGCACAGCAGTGCGTTCTTGCAACTTGCTGCTTGTCCTCTACTTGTCCTCGTGTGATCAACTGGACTACTGACCTTAAAATTAACTCTTTTCCCAAAGATTAGCTCTCAGACTGAACATCTTACTCATTATCCAAGATCTCTCTGTAACAAATCACCTGGAACAAAACAAGAAGCCCCTTTCCAGGATTAAAAAAAAAGCCTTCTCATGCTATTCAAGTCACATTCATCATAACAGTGAATTAAAAAGTTTGATTAAAAAAATCAATTACAAATTCCAGTGTCCAACTCTGCAGAAGGGAAAATTAAATTTCTCTGAGAAAAATCATCAGAACTGAATGTACTGCGCTGCACTTGAAAACAGTAAGATAAGATTTCAATATGGTTCTAAACCAAGCTCATAGCAACCTCTTATCAGACAAAAAATTGCTGCATGGTAAAATAAAGCAGAATTAAAAAAACCACACCAAACACACATTAGAGCAAGGTTGATCAAAAATAAGCTCTGGAACAATATCTTCAGTGAACAATTACTCCAAAGTCCTTTGAATTGCCACCTGTTTAACACTTAGAACATTTTGCTAGTTCTAAAACTCACAAGAAGATCAGTTCTTACTAACTGAAGAAATGCTGTACTTGCAGCTATGTCAGAGACTAAGCATTCTGTTAAAAAATTAAATGAGCAAAACCAAACCATAAAATAACTGCGCATACATCAGCCCCTACATGCGTCAAGTATTTCTGTGCTGCCCATATTGCTATTCTGCGCTAAAACCTTCTCCTGGAATGCAGGCGCTGGCAGCAGCATTCTGTTTGGGGGCACAGCACATCTGCCCAGAGGGATGCTTTCATCTGACCCCAGAACTAACTTACTCCATTTTTTCAGGGACAGACACCACTTAACTACATTGTCTGTACTTTCTAGCTTCAGAAGCACTCCAGCCATCAAGTGATAGTACTACCTTTCCTGTATTTTTTTCCATCCTTCTATTTATTTAAGAATAAAATTGTAAAATTTCATTAAAATTAAACATGTGTTTCAAAAGGCAGCAAAAGCAACAACTGTTTTAGTAATGTAATTTAGTATTTACCAGCAATAAATTAAATTTCACCCTGATGAAGGCTAGTACTTGGAACTTTAAATAGGAAAAAAGGCTTGGAAAACTGTTAGGAGGAGGAAATTAAGAACATAGGAGGCTGCTTGCCTTGGAAAACCAACCGATAAAGAACTGATCAGCTTAAGTACAAGAATAATCAAATAGTATTGATCATCTAGCTCAGGAACATTTGTTCTTCCTGTCACTTTACAGAGGAAGAATCAGGTAATAAACTGTGGGAAATTCATAACTAGTACAAAAATAAACTGAAAAGGGGACTGAATATTAAGAAAATGAAAATCATAATTAAGGCTAATGAAATTCTGAGGAGGCTACTGAACCTCGCCCTTCACAACATAAACCCACCTCTACCAAAGGGATGACAGAAATGAGATTAGAGACTTTACAGAAGGACAGATGATGTAGCATTTCGCTGTTGCACAATTCTTGAACTACGATTTGAAGGCTGTAACTCCAGTGACATTTGATGTACAAAAGCAAACGAGTGGGTGACATGACGAAACAACTGTATGCAACTTGGTCTATCCCAAATCAGGGTGCAGCGTAGCAGTATATTAAGAATGAACCATCTTTTATTATAGTGGCTTTTGTCATCTTTTCTTCTTTCACCCAGTATTATACACCATTCCAGTTGAGAAACTAGAATGGTATAAAATTTGCAATGGTATAAAAGCTACAAGGATAATTTTAAAGGAATTAAGTACTAACAAAATGACAGCACTCAAGAACACCACAACTGTGTATCATGACTCATAGCTACCCAGGAAACTCAACAGGAAGGAGACATAATTTTTGATGAGGAGTTACCCTTAATCTAAAAACCAATTTAACTAAAATTAGGTGGGGGAGGGAGGTGAACCCCCATCATTATCAGGAAAGCTTGGCAGTAACAAAAAGATCGAGAAAATGATAAATAATGGAGAAGAAAGCTTATTATAGTAAGCTGAATAATTTGGTAACCCAGATCACCAGGAACATTGTTAAATAAGGCACTACAGAGCACAAGAAGAAGTGGTGCAGAGCAAAAACGTTTTCAGTGAGCCATGAAGTGTGATGCTACTGAGACACAAGCCACTTCACAAGCAAACAAGTACAGTAATAACGTGCAAAAAGTTTATACACAATCTCTATGCAAGACACTGGTGAAATCTTTACCGTATAGGCTACATCTAGTTCTAGCACCCACAACTCAATGATGGTAACCTAAAGAGGACACAGGCAAGTTTGATTTCACTCAGCTAGGTTTTTTCATGTGGTTTTAAAAAGGGAAAGATAGAAGAGATAAATGTAAAGATGATCACTAACTTGTTAGGCTTCTAACTCTGTAATATAATCATATCAATTTATATAATTATATTTCATTCAACTGAACAAACATTCTTCAAAAATTTTCTGAAGTGGCAAGAGTATAGTAAAAGCATTTGGAAGGCAGAAGATTAGAGGAAGAGTCTTTTATACAAGAAATAGATCAAGAATTAACCTTTTGAACATCTCTGAAAGGGAAGTTTTACCATGCTAGAAACATTTTTGTGAACTTAAGAGAGCACTTAAAATACCTCAGCTTCATCATGTATCAAGTATTACGCTTTCCTAACATATAAAATTATTTTCACTTCTCTTTTTCACCCCTTTTATTATGTTTTCATGTCCATTACTCTGAAAGAACGATAGCTAAAATTATGCATTTCTTTCCTATTTTTGCCCACTTCTCTTTCCTTCTGTTTCCGAGTAGGATGGACAGATGTGGTTCCATTGTATTTCTGAGACAATGCCTTTATTTCAGTGCCCAGTTAGGTGAATTACTATCAAATGCTCATTTCTCTGGAGTCTAAATCATGTCACTCAGGGGAAAAAAAAAAAAGCCAGGCTTGATGTTTAACTAAGTTGATAGCAATCTAAGAGTATGAAAACATAAAATTGGTATTTGATGAGTGCTTTTGGTCCCCTTTTGGTCAAGGGCTGTAATTCATTTGGAGAACTTCTTTCCTTTCATACCTTTTCGCCTTTGAGATGGAAAGAAATAGAACAGGAACAGACCAAACTTTTCTCCTTAAAAAACCCCTCAAACTTTTAACAAGGACTGAGGTATTGCCTTTGAGATGGAAAGAAATAGAACAGGAACCAAACTTTTCTCCTTAAAAAAAACCCTCAAACTTTTAACAAGGACTGAAGTATCCTGTTTCTCTCTTTTAAACCTAAAATCTTCTAAAACAACAAGGGCTTTCTTCAGCCTTTCTTTTCTGAATGTAGCCTGAAAGGAAATATTCCGATGCATTCCACAGCTTGATTTTCAGTTAATTTTAAATCTTCCCTCCACTCCTGCAAGAACATCATTTCCATTCATTTCCTATGTTGACAAGATTAACTTCAAAACTAAAAATCTGGAAGCAATTTCTGTATGAAGGTTCCTGCTAACCCTGCAATTTGAACCTCAGGCAGAAAAACCCAAAGTCATCTGCATATGTGTCTTCATCTTTGGTTCAAGCTGCCAAATGATTATAATAATTTGGCTATGGAAATACCAGCACCACCCATCAATAAGAAACCACCACAAACTCCCAATCCATTGTTTCTATAGTAAGTAACAGAAATCTGCAACTAGGTTAAAGTAAGATCTAACCCCGCTCTCAAACGTGCCAAGAAGTCAATTTTAAAAATTGAGAGACTAAAAGCACCAAGTCCCATAAATACAGGCATTATTTATACCCCAGCTATACCCTACAGCCCAGGCATCCCGCAACAATAATGCTGCAAGAATATTCTTATTCCCTCATAACTCTTCTAACATAAGACAGCCAAAACAATCCTTCAAAATCTAGTCATCAGTGACAGTTAACTCCAGCAACAAAAGAGGACAGTCATCATAAAAATCTGTAGAGAATAGAACTTGAACTCAACAGAAAATAGTTCAAGAAGAAGAATAAAGTATACAGTACTGGATGCAAAGAAACTTTTAAAACCAGGAATAAAAACATGAACATAGTTTGCAAATTCCAGAAATACTTTTACTACAGTTCCATACCATCATAAACCAGCGCAAACCATCAGTCTTGCTGAAAGGAGCAGCCCACCTTCCTGCTCACTCTGAGTGCCCATTCTATTATCTGATTTTACCCATCATGTGTGTCAAGCCCAGCATCCATGCAGCCACACCACAGACTACATCATATTAAAATTAAGGTCTTCTTTTTTTTTTTTTCTTTCTCTCAACATCAAAAAATAAAGTCAGTGCAACTAAAAGTAAATATGAAAACATTTATATAAATACGATGGACCATTATGGATGTATTTGACATTTAAAGAGACCAGCTGTCCTGGTTTCAGCTGGGATAGAGTTCATTTTCTTCGTAGTAGCTGGTATAGTGCTGTGTTTTGGATTTAGTATGAGAATAATGTTGATAGCAACAACTAAAGCATCAGTGTGTTAAGTAGTGCTTACGCGAAGTCAAGGACTGTTCAGTTTCTCATGCCCTGCCACTGACAAGGCTGGAGGTGCACCAGAAGCTGGGAGGGGGCACAGCCAGGACAGTTGACCCAAACTGGCCAAAGGGATATTCCATACCATATGACATCATGCTCAGCATATAAACCAGGGGGAGCTGGCTGGAAGCGGGGGGTGATGGCTGCTTGGGGACTGGCTGGGCATCAGTCGGCAGGTGGTAAGCAATTGTTTTTCATTTGCATCACTTGTTTTTCTTGGGTTTTATTTTTCTTTTTGTTATTTTCCTTTTCATTAGGATTATTATTAATTGTATTTTATTTCAATTATTAAACTGTCCTTATCTCAACCCATGAGTTTTCTCACTTTTACCCTTCTGATTCTCTCCCCCATCCCACGAGGGAGGGCAAAGTGACTGAGTAACGGTGTGATGCTTAGCTGCCGGCTGGGGTTCAACCACAACACCAATCCAACACAATGTTTTGCTTAACTCAAATCTTGGACATTCAATTTTCTTTTTATCCACAAGACTGAAGTGGTCTTTACCTTTTATCACAGCGTCTCCACCTGTTGGATTTCCATTTTCTTGCGGCGCTACAAGCGTTTTCAGAATTACTTGTGTTGCCCCAAGTCTTGGCAGGGTGACGTGTTTAAGAAATGGCAAATTGTTTTTCTTGGCAAATGCCTGACTTGTTTCTCTCCTTTTCCTAAGAAAGCCACCCTCTGGAAATAAAACAATCCATTTCCGATTGCGGCTCCTGTAATATTTTTCTAGATGCTCCTTGAGTAACACAAGCTGCTGGTCACGGTGTGCTCTTCCCTATAAGGATAAAACAATACCTAAATAAAATGAATGCTTAAAAGAGACAACATTAGACAGAAGTATTGCATTTCTAAGATTTCTCTCTTTTCAGAGATACAAATAAGCCCCTAAGACAACACAAAAACCCTCTCCTCAGAGTACCTACCGCTGGTAGGTACTTTACAGAAAGCCTGAGAAAAAGCCCCTGAAATTGAGGATGAAGCTCCTGATTTGATGACTTCTCTGCAAAAGTGTCCAGATTGTAATCGGGAACTTCACATAACGGGAGAATGTACTTACAGAATTGCCTAGCTGATATGAGGTTCCAAATTGAATTTGCTACACTGAATTCTGCAAACAGTCTAGGATTCAAGCTATGATTTTGAGGTCTATGTATCATCAGTAATTTTTGCAAGCCAAACAGTATCTTTACTTACACTATCTTCTACACACCTTTCCCCTCACCCCCATCCCCTATTAGAATGCAGAGGTACCACAGACAGACCTCAAGACCAGGCCTGATTTGAGTTGCCACAGCAAAACCACAGGTTTCACCCAAATCTGTGTTGCTCAAATGACTCATTCATTTCTCCTCTTTGATACATTAGCACAACTTCTTCATTTAAGACAGTAAGATATGTCCTTAATTACTGTAGAAATATCCCCAATATCTTAATAACAATCTTCTCTCTTCCATCTCTGCACACAGCAAGAGCGAGCTACCCAAATTTTCACAGGAATGAATTTACATCAATTCGTATTTGAGTGCTCAAAAGTGACTTTGTTAAATCACTCAAAAGACTCAGGAGTCCAAAATTTAAGCTCTCCTCAGCAGAGGCAACTTCAATTCTCTGAAACATCGACAAAACTGCCACAAACCTTCCACTGCTTGGTGGCTGGTTGGGGTTTTTTTTTTGGCAGAGGGAGGAGAGGGGAAGAGTGGGATAGAGTGGGATTGAGTGGAAGACATCAAGAAACAATATTTTACTGAAGATGAGTTTTTGTGAAAGTGTTTCTCCTAGATTTTGAGGTCTCATGACTGCAATTACTTCCAAGTTACCTTAGGAAAGAAAAAGCTCTGCCAACTGCAATTACTTCCAAGTTACCTTAGGAAAGGGAAAGAAAAAGCTCTGCCTGCTCATGTTAATGCAGTTAAAGAGCAATATAAAAGTTCCTCAGTTAAACCAGTCCTTTCTCACCAGACCACAGGACTCTGGGATAGCATGGTAGTTAAGAAAAGAGCAGTGAACAATAAACTTCCCACACATTAGATATTAGAACTCTCCAAAACCTAAACAAACCTAACAAACATGACTGGTGGATAAATTGTAGTTTAGCAAATACAGTGGGGTTTAAGATGCTGCTGCAATATGGAAATATCTACTGGGCTAATGGGAAAGAGGAGCGTTTAAAAGTAACCGTGACTAACGGTGGGGTTTAAGATGCTGCTGCAATATGGAAAAATCTACTGGGCTAATGGGAAAGAGGAGTGTTTACAAGTAACGTGACTAACAGCATACTGAACAGTCCTGGAAGATAAAAGGC